TGTGGAAATCGACTTCGACAACTACAGTACAAATTAAAGTAACACCATGTTATGATCGATCTCATAGTTCTATTGATAATCAAGAGCAATCAACAACGACTTCTCAAGATGATGTTACTCTTCTTGGTTTGTTAAAAAAGATTTGTCAACAAAATAAATGCGATGAGAGCGATGCCACTATTTGGGAAAAAGCTTTAAAAGGCAAGTAGTTTGTTGTACTTTCGCTGATAACTAGTGAATCGATTCTTTATAAAAATAATATATTTAGACGTTTAGCTTTGTATTGAAAATCTAATGACTATTATCTTTACATAAATAAAGTTATGAATTGAAAACCTTTGGAACAGATTGTAAAAAGATTGAAGAATAATATATAAATTTCCTGAGTAGTTATCAAATAAGTATGACCTTTGTTTTAATTTCAGACGAGAACATTGGTACTATTGAACATTTACGTGGTGCTGTAGCCAATGAGACTATTTGGGAAAAAATTACTGTTCGAGTTTTAGTTAAGCAAATGATTCGTGACTATGTTCAATTGAATGTTGTTTCAAAAAATTCATCTCAAGTGACTGATCCTTACAAAGAATCGAAGGCCACTTTATTAGGTGATATTCATCGAGTTCGTCGCTATTTTTATCACAGTACGGGACAAATTCAGCATGTTCCTTATCTCGATCGAAATGCTGTAAATTTAGCCATTGAAGAAATTCGACAAACATATGATGATGATGGAAATGTTCTTATCAATATACATAATTATTTACGAACATTTTGCTTGCAAAATACAACAGCTACTGAAGAAGAACGGAACAAACAACGAGAAGGATGGATGAAAGAACTCAAATCAGTTGAAGAAAATAGAAGTAAATTAGAAATCAATGTTAAACAGCTACACAATCAATTACTAGCAGCTGAGCGAGATACAATTTTATACGAGAAACGCTTGTTCAATATACTACAAGCAGAGAAAAACGTGGAAACTGACGTTCAAAAAATGATGGATGAAGCACAAAAGATAGCTTTGAAGAATTTTCAAAATATGACTTGGATCGAGAAACGAGAAGAAGCCAAACTCAAATTGAACGAATATCAAAAAAAGAAACAAGGTGCTCAAAAAGATGTGATTGACAAACGTCATGTACACGAGCAAGCAAAACATCGTTATTTGTTAGCAGCAACCGAACTCGATCATGATGAAAAGAAGATTGAAGCATTGAAAGAGTTGCTTGAACTCAATCTTGCTAATGAACAACGAAAATTAAATGTCAAATTCGGTCGTGGTCTGCTTCTGTATGGTCCACCAGGGACAGGTTTATTCAACTCTTTAATATCATAATTAGAATCATATTTTCATTTTATAGGCAAATCAGAATTGTTAAAACAAGCAGCCATCTTTGCTGGTATTACTATGACTACAAATCCTTTAGCAGCTGGTGAACTTAATCGACCGTATGTTGGTGAAACTGAAAAACTTCTCATTGATATTATGTCTCGTGCAGATACTATTCTATATTTAATCTGTGCTATGACAATCGATGAAATCGATGGTCTCGTACCTAAACGTGATAACAATGCACAACAATCAAAAGTCGATGGTATAAGTGTCCTTTTATCTCATATTGAAGGTGTAAAGAATATCCCAAATTTGATTGTACTCGGTGCCACTAACCGACGAAACATGATGGATGAAGCATTTCTTCGTCGTATGCAAGCAAAATGTTTTGTTGGTCGACCATCACCACAGATTCGTAAGAAAATGTTGCGACCACTCTTGTCTAAAGGTTCAAATTTATTCACTAATAAACAATTGGATTTTCTCGTCAAAGTAACTACGAACTTTAGTGGCGCGGCTGTTGCTGCACTTCGATCAAGCATTATTGTTGCGTTGGATGGTAAAAATTCGGATACATTACCTGACGTTGTATTACTTGAATTAGCTGATAATGTAGCACGTGAGTTCAACTGTTGGTTTGGTGTTGGAACATTGCCAGAAATATGTCGCATGTATCCAAATTTGTTCAACTCTCAACGTGATCAGAATTATGAAGAGTATTCATTGACATTATCTCAACTTTTACCATCAGGACGTATTATGGTTGATTTGCGAGAACGAAAATGTCTTATCGAACTTACAAATGAGCCAACACTCGAAAAAGAACTTCAAGACAATGAAACATCGATGTTGACACTTATTGCACGATTTGTTCATGGTTGCTCAACTCGAAATATCGACACTATTCAAATAATTGATTTAAATTTTCTTACTAAACAAAATGCTTTCGATGAAAATCAAATATTCGAACTACTAACTACTACATTTCTTGGTTAGTTAACTCTGCTATTTATGAGATTTTAATTATCATCAGATCTTCTCTTTCTCTAGAATGTAATGAATATAATCGATCAATGCTCATTTTCGATATTGATTCTTTGATTATGCTTACTGTATCTGATTCGGAAATGTCTAAATCAGAATCAATTTCTAATATTCGTTTATATCAATTCATTCGTGAAAAATGTAAGACAGCCATTGTTCAACAAATCTCTTCAGATAAGGTTATATAATCTTAATTTATAGTGTTAATCTTTTATTGATCATAATTTATATCTCATTAGGATATTAAGATGGTGAAAGAAAAATGGATTGTCATCATTGTTAAACATCCACTTTTACGACAATTGATCATCGATGATATCGAATTCAAACAAACTGCGGAACAATTACAGAAAGAAGAAGATAATAAAAAGAAACGAATTGACGATGAAACTGAAAAAGTCTGTCCTAAATGTCAACAAAATTATATTCCATCGAAGACTAACTATGGAAATTGTCGTTATCATGATGGATTCATTTATGATCTGGAAGGAAATACTGCACTAAGCATGGACGAAGCTCAAAGTAAATTACAAAAAGCAAAACTTCGTCAACAACATGCATCATCTGAACCACCACCGCAATTAATTTGGGCTTGTTGTCTCGGTGTATTTGGAGTTGATGGACCATGTCGAGTTGGTTTGTGTGGTTTGCCAGAAGAACTCAAAGAACAATGTGGTAATGCTTCTAATCAAATAGAGATTGTTCAAGAACATTTCAAGAAAAATCAAGCTGCTTTAACTAAAATTAATAAATTTTTAGAGAATTTCAAAAAAGCAAATACTACACTTTCAAATACATCAACGCCAGTAAGATCATCAACAAATCCATCAATAAATAAAAAATGACACTTTTAATCAACAATTGCATAATTATAACCATAGAATTTTATTGATTTTCCATATTTAAATCAGAGTAAAAAGGAAATGACAATCAAAAGAAAAATCATCTATTTTGATGTATTGTTTTTTATTGATAACCTATTTTCATTTTCGAATACATTAAATTATTGCTTGATTTCAAGTAAATCATTTTCTGTGTCATATTATTTATAAGACATTTCTCGTGATCCATGTCATTTCAAATTCTTATAAAGCCTAAAACAACGTTTTTTTTTTGTGTTCAACATTGTACCAGGAAAAATATTCGTTTGTTTTTTAGCTAGAATTATAAAGTTATCTAGTCTATGCTTTCATATTTGCTTCTCATATGATATTAAATAAGTCCGTAGAATCCTTCAAAACTTGGAAAACTTCGAAGCCATTTTTTAAATGAATATTTCAATTTACGATTGATTTCTATGTTATTAATCACTCATCAAAAACAAAAGTCTGAAATTTTTTTTTTGAATATGTTAAAAGTTTCATTTTGACTTCTATTAAGAAGAATGTTTTTTTTCCTGAGATAAATGTCTCAAAGAATATTAACTATATGACATATGAATTTCAATCTATTGAGAAATGTAGTCGAAAATCGATTTCAAATTTCTACAATAACTTTTGAATTAACAAAACAAATAAAGCATGATTTCATATAGATTTGACTATGTTCTATCAAATGTTTTCATGATCAACTCTGCTAGCAATATCTGGCGACTTATCGAAAGGGAGACGAAGGTGAGTGTGGCTGTGTATGTAACTATTGTATTCGTTTATATTCACATCCTTCTTCTGTCAGATTTATTTTTAAGTTTTTAACCATATATGATATTTATTTTTGTTTACATATCTACTTATTACATGGTTTCAGTTACTCTTTTTGTAGTTTAATGTTACTTTCTGATGTTTTATTTTTACTTCTTTTTGACCTAGTATGTATCCTAACCTTGTGATAATGACTTGTGTTCACTCTTCGTAGAAGATTTTGAAATATTGACTTACGAAGAAAATAATTATTGTGAAATATAATGTTTTGATTTTTGATTCTCTCTTCCTTACCTTTGAAACTTTATTCAATTATGTTTCGTTAGCGATGTTGATTTCATCAAACTGTTTAGGTATAAAAGAATAAGTACAAGTTACAAAAAAAAAGCACACATACATATACTCTCGATTCTAATGATATGAGAATAAAGAAAGAAAAATTCAAAGACAATGCTCTGTCCAGTATCATTGTCTTGTTCGTTTCAATATCAATAGAGAAGAGAGAGAAAATATTTGTTTTTTATTAAATTGTACTTGTTATTTTATAACTAGAAATAGTTTCATAAAGTTAACATCATTGATGTAACGTTACGTTACTGAATAAAATTTTAAATGATAGATAGAGAAAATTAAAAATAAAAACATTAAGTTCCACTATTATCTTCTATACGACTCAAGATTCCGATATTTATTATGAATCATTCGAAATAGATGTGTCAAACAGAACGTGAGGTCAATATCAAAGAAGATTACTTCTTTATTGATGATTTAGCGATTTTTCACTGTTTAATATTCATATTTGTCTGTTGAAAATTCTCATAATAGTGCGACAATCGTCAGTGAATATGAATTAATTAAGTTCAAATTATAAAGTTCTAGTTTATTAAAGATAAGGAAAAAAAGAGCCATAATATAGAAATCTACTGTTCAAGTAAATCCAACTATTGATAGTGTTTAATAGATATAGAAAGATGAAATGTTCAAAGATAATCGACCATAATTTTGATGCTTATATTTTGTGCTAAGATAGCCGAGAAACGTTCGACAAGTGCATCACTCGTTGTACTGTTTGCAGCGATATGATTGAATACAGTCTGAAGTTCAGCACCGGTCAGTGCTGAATAGGCTCGACCACCGCCATCTGAAGCCATATTTTGAAGTAATTGTGCTTCTTTGCTTCCTCGAGCAATTCCAGATCCGAAACCAACTGTGTGACAAACAAATTTATGATTGGTTCCATAATTCTGTTTAAATTGACGTATGAGTGCTACAGGATCTTCTCTACTGCCATCGGCACCGTCTGACATGAAAATCATCACGACCGATGAGGCTGTATGATCAGCAGCAATTGCTTGATTGGCTTTATTTAAACCTTGACAATAGTCTGTACCACCACCCTTCATAGATAGAAAACGAGGTGTATTTGACAGACTTTGTTGTTGACAAATAATTCGTGCATTAGATTCGAATTGAATAACACTAAAATGATCATCTCCACCTTGATCATCATTACGTCGTGTCAAAAATGCACCATAAGCAGATTGCAAAGAATTCCATTCACCGGCCATCGAACCTGATTCATCAAGTACAAAGACGAAATGAAACGATTGTGTTTCTTGTTGTTTATCATCGAATAACTGAATTGTAGTGAATACTTTGCCTGTTTCATCCTTTTGAGCATCATAATGAGTTTGAAATGCTTTTTCCATTTTAGCAGTTGCTTTTGGTTTTATTTGACAAAACATGAGATCGATTTCTGCATCTTTTTTTAAAAGACGATCACAAATACTTTTCACTGTATGTATACCAGTTCCCTAAAAATAGAAAATCAGATAAATCACTTTTCTATTGTACTAAAAACAGTAATCGAGTCTTATTATCAAATATGAACTATAGTCCATTCCAAAAGTCGATGCATATGACTATTTTTTGAATAACTCAGGAATAGAAAGTGATAATGACCTATGATTTTCACTATTCTAAAAAGTATTATCAGTAGCATCTATCTATTTAAGACACATTAAATTAAAAGTATTTGTTCATACTTTTCTTTTCAACTGATATTTTATCGTTGCTGTTTTTTTTTTAATTCAATTTTCAAAATTTTTCAACTCAAATTATACAAAACTCAAGCTATAATCGCTTCATATTCGTGATAAAATTATAATGGGTTATTTTGATATTTTTCTTCCAACGAGATTCCTTCGGAATATGATGATTTATGTTGGAATATAGCGTGATTTTGAGTTGATTTTTGTATAATTTGAATTGAAAAATTTAGAAAATTAAATGAAAAAAATCTCAACAAAAAATGTCCCTTGAAAAGAAAGGCATGAACTAATACTTTCGACTTAATGTGCCTTAGACAGATAGATAGATGCTACTGATAATGTTCTTTCGAATAGTGAAGACCGCAGGTCTCTATCACTTTCTGTCCTAGAATTATTCAAAATATACTCACACATACTGACTTTTTGGATGGGCTATAGAATAAGTAATACAATAATGAATCTCATTAGATTTTTCCTTTGAACTGTTTACATTTCAATCTTAAAAGATGATTTAAGTAAAAAACAAACATGACGGTTAGATCTCTTACTTGAGGATGTCGATCGATGTTGAGATTATCATTTAGTTCTGGTCCATGGCCAGGTGCATCAGTGATGAGAACAATAAAACGAGCATTAGTATTACTCCAATTTGTCAAAGTTAAACAACGATCAAGTGCACTAAGTACATCTTCAGGTATATCACCACCACCATTTGCTATTAACGTATTAAGAAAATTAATTACTTGATTAGTATCATCAGTGAAATCTTGAGTGAAAAATTGTGGTTGATCACCAATATCACGATAACCAACGATAGCAAAACGTAATTGTAGTTTGAGTGATGGATATTCTTTTTCAATCAATTTAGTGATACCTTCTATGATACTTTTCATTTGATCTTTAGCTGCCGATATCCATCGTGACATACTTCCAGTACAATCGAGACAGAAACAAATATCAACAGTCATATTTGATGGTGGCTGACCACTGTTGATTAACATCAAATCGCGTTGGCCAACTAAATCTTCAATCAATTCTCGAAAAATCTTCTTCGATTTGATATCATCAAAGAGATTATCTATTGTAATAATAGAATCATCAGTTTTGTTACTATCCGTGTTTATATTTGGTGGCCATTCTAATGAAAATAATTGAGTTTCATTTTCGAAGAGAGCTCGCAACGCTTTTGGTAATCCGTATGGTGTAGCACATTGTAAATAACGTTTGTAGACTGATTTAAGGTTAGTTTGATCGATACCAATCGCCATAGCAAGCAGATCAATACCATGATCTTCAGCCCGTTGTTGTACGATCGATAGTCGACTTCCACAGTTACTATAACCATCGGTCAGAATAAAGATTCTCTTCTCACCTCGAACTGAACAGTGATCCAGAAGATCGATGGCAGCTTCGATAGCATCTGCATCTTTAGTATCATCATCTCGATCAAAACGTAACTGTTGAATCAATGTGTAAATACATGTAGTATCCCAGGCTTGTTCACTAGTCTTAATCAAACGAACATTTTCACCAAAAACTATGATACCAAAATTCTCTAGACTGAGTTTACGCAGAGCAGCAATAAGTATAACAATTGTATCTATTGTACCAATACTAAGTGTACCGAACATAGAAGTTGATACATCAATGACAAGGCACATTGCATGATCTCGTTTACCACCGGCTAATTTGGCACTGAAAATTTTCTTGTAATTCCATTCAGTAGTCATTGCTTTGATTAGACCAGGTAAATATAATGATGAACCACGTAATGCTGCTCGACGACGTGTAAATTTATTAAGTGGAAAGACAAGATCACCAAGAACAGTCGATAGATCATCGATCAAACCTGAAAAACGATATTCATCACCGATCCATTTCTTTTCTATATCTTGCATAGTAGATGTGACTTTAAGTGTATGATAATATTGACGAAGTAAATCAACGGCATGAGATGCATAATCAGTGTATTCACTTGAGCGTGATAAATAACTTGTTAATTGTGATCGAATCTAAACAAAAGATAAGAAATCAATAGATTAAATTCTATCTGAACATCAGAATGATTAAAAAGAAAGGATCACGAAATCTTTATAGAGTATATTATGTCGAACAAACTATTTGACTTCAATAAATCGAGTCACTTACTTGAGCTAATTTTGGAATGTTGGCTGTTGGACTACTAATTGTGTATGAAGTTGGATTGGCTGCAATATAGGATTGTTTTTCATTAGCAACATCTTGAACAAATGTAACGTCATTGATAGTTGGTACTCTGATATTTATCGTTGGTAATTCTTTCATTGTTTGTTCTAATAATGATGATGAAGATGTTTTTGTTAGACAAGCTTTGATCATTTCATGCATAAGTTGAGGTACTTTGAGAGGAAGTTCAGTAATATTGTTTGCTTTGAGAATACAACTTTGTGCTTGTGTTAAACCTTTAAGTAGAACTTGACTGCTATTCTGATCGACTGTTTCGATGAACATAAAACCAAGATTGATTTTATGTTTTGTAATTGTACGAGAATAACTAGCATCATCTCGTTCTTGTGTTAAACCATCGGTGATCATGAGAACAAGACGATGCACAATTGTAGTTGATGATTTTTCTGATTCTACAACTGGAAAGACACGATCAGCAATACGTGCTAATCCTGTTGCAGGATATGTTCCTTCGTCGAAGGTTAATGCTTCAAGAACATATTGTCCATCTTGATTAGTAAAAAGATCATTGAGATTTTTCAAAATTTTCTGATTTGTTCGTGTACCAAATCGAGCAACAGCAAATTTCCTTTCAAGTTTACGTAATAACTCCATGATAATAACAAGAGCTTCATAAATGGCATTTCGATGAATACTCATTGAACCTGAATTATCGATCATGATACACCAGCGAATTTCATGTTCATCAAGAAGATCGAGTTTTTCCCAATGAGAACGAAATTCTTGCACGATGAGATCAATCATTCGTGAAATGGCTGGTACTTCAACAAGTAATTGATAAGTCCATTGTTGATGCTGCTCTGATGACTTTAGAACAGAGCGATTATCAAGTTTTCCATCGGGTACAGTTGAAGCAACTTTAGAATCGGCTTTTTCATACATTTCAATCAGATTTGGTTGCTTTTGCAAATGTTCATGCATGGCTTTCATTTGTAGATCAATACTAATCTCTTGATTTAAACTCATATCGACTGGAGATATATCACTCTGAGTTGTTCCACTACTTATAGAAGTAACTTCTGTTTTGTTCGTATTTTGATCCAACATTCCAGTTGCTAAATTTTGAACATTTGTTTGAAAGTTTGAATTGACAAGTTGTTTTTTCTTTGTTTTTAGTTTTTTTTCTTGTTTTTTCTTTGCTAATTTCAAAGCATCTTGTAACTGTTCATTATTGCTTGTTCGTATTGCACTTTCCCAATCATCGAATGTTATTGGTGCATCATTGTTATTGTTGATTACAGGTACAGATCCACTTGTCGGTCCTATAGATTGTGGAGCAGTATTTATTTGTGGAAGAATATCAAATTTCGATTGATTCGAAGATCGACCTTTCGGAGCAATGGAATTTGAAGGAGGTTTGAAGTCAACTTTAATTCGACTGACATCAACATTCAATTGACGTAGAACCTTTAGCATCATTGGATACTTTTCAAGAGCTAACGAAAGTAAACATTTTTCTATTTGTATTAATTCTTTCATCAAAAATCGAACACCAACATGAGCAAAAGTAGGTTCAAGAATTTTTCTTGCAATAAAAAGATGACGAAGTAGTTGAAGACCATATTGAATAATATCATGACCTACTTTGATTTGATTTAAGTCATTTGAATTCGATCGATAGTGCACAAGTACATTGAAAGTGATAAAATTTGCATACCACTGAGTAACCTGTGTTCGAGTGACAAGTGCTGCATCGACAATATCACGAACAGTATCAGATTCAACAAAGACAATCGATGATTGAGAAAGATTTTTGATATAATTCAATACTGATATTTCCATTTTTGTTAGTGTCTCATCAGAATAAGGACATTCGATTGATGTCATTCTAGTGAGTACTGTTCGTGATACTGAGGATGAAGCAGATATTGTCTGATCAGTGTTCGATGATGGAATTCGATGAACACAAATACGCTTGGTAAGACTTTCACGAATAGCTGTGATAATAGATGAAAAATTGATTGTAGATCCAATTGATGAATTGGTGGTGAATATTTCACGAGTATTTTGACGACAATTTGCAAGAATGCAAAGTGCTGATGCTAGACTCGTCGTATAGAGTTGTTGACTAAAAGCAATGTTTCTAGTAGACACCAGACCGAGAAATGACGTCAAAATAGACGATATAACACTGAAAAATCGAAGAGATTTGGCACAATTAATATCGAACAATGTCAACCATGATGCAATAATATTATCGAATAGAAGATGTTGACTTTCTTCGTCTAGTATTGAATGAGATGATAAGCGCAGTAAAGTTAGGTAAGCATGCATCTTCTGTTGCATTACTGGTGGAATAAGAGACTGAATTCGTTCGAAGAAGTCAGTTGATGATGATGGTAATATGTTCGATGAAAGTTGACGAATCGAAGGTTCATGTGCATTAAGTGACTTTAGTTCGTCATTTGTTGAAACAAGACGACAAAGCTTTAAGATAGTTTCAGCCATTGTTTCTTCTGTAGTGGCATCAGTCAGAGCTTGTGTAAGATGAACAGCTTCTTGATGACAGTGAAGAATATCAATGAATTTGAGTATTGTTTCCCATGTTGGTGTTGAACAGAGATGCATGTACGATTGTCTGATAGAATACCAATTTTTATCAGGATTGAGAGTATCGAGAAGAGAAAGAACTTGAGCAATAACAGATACCAAAGTTATATGTTTATCACCTATATCACAAAGTAGATGATAGGCAACGTTGATGGATTTCTTGATGAAAATCCATTGAGAGGCAGTGACTAAGACAAGTTGACGAAGTATATCGCAGAATGTCTCGTTATTTCCCGTATGAATCATAGGATTTCTCATATCACCAATTAGTGTTCGTCGAAATTCAAGAATTTGTGAAACAAGATGGTTAGGTGGTGGATGAGGCAGATAAGAAAAAGAATTTAGTGCTTGAGAGATTTCGTAATAATAGATCTCTTTGAAAACATTTCGAATCAAGTAAAATGTTTGTGATGGTTCAAAGCGTTTAAAAATTATTTCTGTTATTGTCAACAGATCGTTTAATTGAACTCGTTGCTTGTTCGATGCTTGTTTAAGAATTGGAATAAACTGTGTGTAATCAGTGAAGAGTGATTCAAGTAAATCAGATTTTATATTGATATTCAATGAGTTCCATAAAGTATGCATACTTTTAACTGCTTCAAGTAGTGATCGTTGTACTGATATAGGATTTTGTTGTTCGATCAACATCAAATGTAGATCAAGTAACGCTTGCCAATCATTTTTGATTAATTTGATCATTATTTCTTTTACATGATCATTAAAATGTGCAAGGAGTAAAGCTAATTTAAGATCTGATGGATTGGTTGATATCATCATCAATTCACCAAAAGAACTCTTGGATGGAATCACAGTCAACAAGTGTTGTGCAACATCGACTGTTGTTGAAGGTTGAACTATCTGATGGATGAATTTGGTAAAAATACGGATACTTTCTGGTATAGCACAATCATTACTAATACATTGATGTACGAACTCGATGGCTTGTCGAAAAGCATCATCAGATGAACACTTCTCGTAGATATTCCATAGTTTTGCTGAATAGCTCTGCATTGCATAAGCTTCATCGATATTTGCTGCAGAATTTATTACAGCAAATAGTTGTAATCGAATAGATTCATTATTTGAAAACGAACGATGAAATAAACTCGAATGATAAAAAAATGATCGATAATTTGTAAATGAAGATCGAAGTAGTGAGACTAATGTGTCAATGGCTGTGTTCACAGTAGTTTCATCACTGAATAAATCAAGTGTAAGCAAATCCTTATTGGTTCGTTGTCTATCACGAGGGAGATGCATGCAGAACATAGACCATTCATCCTTGGTCTTTGGTAATGAATCTTTCGTATTTTGTGATCCGCAGACATGAGCAATGGCTGTGAGTGCCACTAATGAAGTATAAGAACTATGAACTGTATATTCTCGACAGAGTTGATACAACCACGATGAAGGCAACAGTTGAAGTTTGCACCATAAATTTGGATTGAGATCTTTCGGTAAGGCAAAGTCACGTAATGGTAACGTATGCCCAACGACAACTATCGTTACAGTACGATTGACTAGTGTCCCATTGATATCGATTACTGGATCACATATACTTATTAGTTCAAATTCGACAAGTCCAATTATCTCTGATATGGATCTATTGTCGATTACATCACATTCGATCATAATACTAAATATACGTTGTTGATTAGGATTGACTCGTAGGGTTTGATTAATCGATGAAGGTGTTAAAATAGTTGATGATTCTTGTAGAGCGACTACTTTGACAAATGGTTTTGGTCGAATAGGATCCGATATGACAAAGCGAAGTTCTCTTTGTCCAATGTTTTTTATGATCAGCATGTTTTCTTTGAAGATCTTTCCAGTTTGTATTAATCCAATATCGATTACAGTTCGTGGTATCGTTTGTAAGATCGGTGTTTGAAATTCAACATAATACGGAATACTAATCAAATCGATGGAAGTATTTGTTTGTACTTCTACTTGAACATCGAACTTTCCTAAATCAACGGGATGGTAGAGAAAGCGTACAGGTACTTTCGATTGTGGTGGAATGATAAGATTATCAGGTTCAATATGAAATTGTGATCCCAAAGGCGTTCGAGGATCTTGTGCTGATACAATGCGTCTGTAGCTCAAAGTAGCAGCAGCTTTGCTCGCATTCATGAATGTAATTTCATGTTCAATAGGTAGTAATTGATGACGATCTGCATTCCAGATTTGTTGCATTTGAACCGATTGTGCAATTGTAATAATTTTCTTAATATCAGTTGTGCGTGTTGAATAAGTCAATTTAGCTTCAGCTGTTTGACAGTCAAATGTTAATTGACATTGACGTTTATTATTAACAAAATCAATGAAGAGTACAAATTCTTGATGAGGATTTGTAGACATTTGTATTTCAATTGGAACTGTTTTCATCGTGTTTACAGGTAGATTGACTTCAGGCATTGTAAGAATGAGCTTAGTTGAGGAAAGACGAAGTGTATATTCGATTGGTCCATCATTTCGAAACTCAGTAGAAATAATACGTTTCTCACCCTTATAAAAATCATCAATCAAGACACGATCTAACGAATTTTTTTCAATATAAGTACGTCCTTGATAGACGACTGCGAGATGTAAACGTCGAACATGTGCAAGTACTTTTATCCATTTGAGATTTTTAGCTGAATTGATCGCCAGACAAACATCTGCATCGATATCTTCTTCGATGTTATCAGTTGGTTCAAGTGCGATACCAAAAGGTAAAATTGAATTAGCTGGTAAATCAAATTCATTGTTGAGAATAAGCAAATGAGATTGTCGTTGATTGATTTCAGTTGCTTGTAATTGTGATTTTATACGTACAGGACATGTTAGAACATTTTTCAGATCGATTGTTTTCTCGATTCGATTATTACTACAGGCTACAAAACCAAAATCAATGGTATCAGCTGATTTTTCGACATCGATCTCGACAATTTGAATTTGAGTTTGAATGACATTCGAAAGAGTAATTGTATTATCGATAAGAAGATTCCAATTTTCATTGAATGAGCCAATCGTTGCCGGTGGTCTTAAGAATATTTCAAATTCACACATATCACCAGCATTAACTTGTACATTTTCATTCGTCACATCGAATGCAGTATCATCCGTAATAGTTCGATCAACTCGCAAGTTCAAATCTCGATCAGTATGATTATGAATAAATATACGTTGAGTCAATCGTTGATGAATACCACTGAGTGTACTACCAAAATCAAGGATAGCCTTTTTTGGATGACATGTTAGACTAGTTGATATATCATCATTATTCATTGTTTCAATCAACCATAAATGAGCATCACGACTCATTTCTGAATGAATAAATGCCATAGTGAAATTATCCTCAATAGTTAAGGATGATAAACTTATGAGACGTTTAATTTCAATCCAATTATTTGATGTTCGTTTAATTGTTCGAAAGATACGTTGTGCATCTTTCAATACTCGTCGACATTCATTCAAATGTTGAACATTTTCTTGATTGTTTTCCATTGGTATTTGACTCAACTGTGTACATTCATTCAACATAGTAGAAAATTCTTGTTGAGTATCCAAAGATCCATGAATCGAAAGAGCATTAGTCCATGCATAAATTAGAACCAGATGTACTCGATTCAAGTGTAAATTATTGATGAAATGTTGTAATTGAGCTTTAGCATCTAATAGACATTGTCGACTTGAACTAAAAGCTGCTTCCATTGAATAAGTTTGTACAGACTGAAAATAGAGTCTTATTGCTGGATCGTCATCATGAACGAATTGTATTAATGGTGAAATCGATGCAAATTCCTTGATATCTAATAGATCGAAGATTTTCTTTAGTACATCAACTTGTGGTAATTGCATGAATAGATGATAGATATTCGAAGGAGTTGATAAATCATTTGGACCTAGTTTTGGACAATTTATCATCGGAAGAATTTCTTTCATATGATTAGTCAATGTTTGAATTGCTCGAGTAATAGGTGATGATTGAAATTCTTCTTCTTCTTTATGTTGTTGATTTTGAACAATGAGTTGTTCTTCTAATTCACGTAAACTATTTTGTAAGTCACCAATTGATGGAATGGTTGATATGTTCAAATCACTTGCAACGCCATTTACTGTAAAGCAATATTTTTGATAAATTGGTTGACATGTTAATTTCAAATTATTTATTATATGATATGGTATTTGATTATCAACAAGTGTTGACCATCTCATTTTCATGCCACTAATATCAAAGTTATGAATGGCTAAATGTGTTATTTGTGTTCTAAGAACAATATTGATCTTTGTCAATGCATTGTTTAATGAGATGGTTAAAGTAAGACATGGAGATTTTTCTTTATTTGAATTCCAAAACGAAATATAAATTTCCTTCAAATATTTGTTCAAACGTTCGATTTGTAAAAGAAATATATTTTCAGATGTTGGAAATAATTCTTTATTCAACAGTGCAAGATTATGTGATGATTGATATCTTTTATGTAGATCAATTATCTTATTTAATTCACCTTGATCTGCCATAGTAAAAATTCCATGTATACCATGTTGTTGTGATTGCATATATAAGAGAATATCTTGAAGTAACACAGCAAAACATTCATCAAAATCATTATAAGTATTGGATGAAAAAATCGAAATTAAACTTCGTCCAAAATTCATTAATTTTCGTTTGACTTTTTTGATAAGAGCTTCATCGTTTGTTCGAACTTTTCGACGTAATTGTATAAAATCTTTTCCAGCATTGATCCATTGTTCATTAGCTTCTGTTACTTGTTTGACAAGTGAATGAAAATCAATTGAACTCCATAAATCATTAGAACTATTTTCTACTTGTTCTTTGGATACAATATAAAAATCTTGAAAAATTCTATATTCTTGTCGATATATATTTTCAAGTAATTTAAAAGCCAATTCAATCTGTTGATTATGATGAATAAAATTCATAAGAGGTTGTTCAAGAAGTAATTTTTCACTTAAATTATAGATATCACGTGTTGAATAAAGTAATTTAAAATAAAGATCATAATCCATATTTTCCATTGGCATATTCATAATGATTAATTCTAAATTATCAATACCACCAATTGTCAATTGATAAATAGTTTGAAGATAATAAATATTCATTAAATATTTTGAACGTTGATTTAAATTAATCGATTGAAGAATGGTATTTTTTCGTTGAAGAATTTTTTCAATATCTGCTAATCGAAGTGTATCATTGATTTCAGATGAAAATAATGAACTATTAATTTGTTTAACTTTACGTTGATTCCATGTAAGTTGTCGATGAATATGAAATTTTTGTGTTTTAATAAATCCACGAAACATTTCTTTCATTGTTAAATGCCATCGTTGATTAAGATCATCACAAAATAATTTCATATTTAATCGATTTTTTAATAATTCTTCACATAAATTATCAATTAATTTTGATAAACATTCAAATAAATTTGTTTGAAGTTGTTTAGATACAAAATCACCTTGATCATTTATTAAGCATGATTCATCTGTTAAATATAAGAATTTATTACATAGATCATTGATAATAAGATATTCATTATCAGTTAGATTTTGAGAAATTTTTTCAAGTAATTTATCAATTGTTGACCATGTACGTTCAATTAGAAAAACCGATGGTAAAATAAATTGTATTAAAATTTGAAGTGAACGTTCAATTTGATCAAAAAGATTAAATGGATTTGAATTGAATGCAAAACAAAGATGTAATGGAAGAAATAAAAGTGTATCACTATGACTTTTTAATTGCATTTCATATCGATCTAATAAATTAAGTAGATCAATTTCTGTACGTGGAAATTGCGATAAATCAATTGTTTCTGTTGTTATACCTATTAAAATATCATCAAGTGATTCACGTATTCCACGTTGTAATTGTAAATAATGACAACCAGCAATAAGTAAATAAATAACAAATCGTTCAAATTCTCGAATTAAATGTTGAACTTGTTTATTTTGTTCATTAGCCATTAAAGTATCAAATTTTATTACTTCACTACGTACATATTTACTTATAATTTGAGCATTTTTTATAATATCATTTTGTTCATATCCTGTTCGAATTTGATTAAGAAATAAAGAACATTGTTCTCGTATAGATAAATTTAATTGACATAAATTTTGTTTTTTTTTATTTTCACTATAAAATTTCATTTGAGATGTTTCAAGTATTTTAGAATAATGTTTCCAACTTTTTGATGAATTCTTTAATGATGATAGTGAAATATTTATCACGTCACAATAGAATGAAATAAATAAATTCATAGGATCAGTTTCAGCTAAAGACATTGAATGAGATCGAACATCATTCAATATTTCACACATGGATATTTGTAAACTATCAATTTGACTATCATCAATAAAAGTTTTTGTTATTTCAAGTAAGCTTTGATAAGCAATTGATACTGGAATTTTGAGAAGAGTATTAAGATCAGTCGTTATTGAAATATTTGATTCAGATCGTTTTCCTAAACTAATAATATATGTTTTAATGATTTGAGAGATATTTTCAAAATAATTTAGAAGATTAATCATCCATTGTTGTTGTTTTTGTTCTAATTGATGATTATATGAATTTGTTAATTGTTCAAGATTTTGTTTAACTATTGTTATTTCAGTTTGTTTTTTCTTTATGCTTTTTTCAATAGATTCTTCACGTTGATAACATTCATTTACTTTTTTATCTAGATTTTCAACAAGAAAATGATCTTCAATTGTAGCTATATTACGTTCTAATTCAGCATCTTCTCGTTCACGTCGACGTTTATTTAAATCTTGTTCTAATTTATTTGCTTCTTGTTCAAGTTGATGGAGATTTGTTTTTATATTTAATAATTCAATTTCATCATTTTTTAGTGTTGTTAATTTTAATAAATGTTGATTTTCTTTAAAATCAGCAAGATTTGTTGCTGCCCAATCGATTAAAATCATTAATATCAACGCCAATGCCATTTGAATAGGAAATAATTCTTTAACACTTGTACAAATTTTCATTAGAAGACTTTCTTGAATTTGTGGATCAATACATAAATCAATCAATTGTTGAATGATATTAACTGTTGCATTGAGAATATAATGAATATGTTTTTGTCGATCAAATAAAGATATCATCGATGTTTGATGACGATAAATATAGCTTGATAGACCATGAGTAGCTGTTAAGGATGATAATGTAGCTGATAAATGCATTGGTTCAACTTTATCAGTACGACATGAGAGAAATAATTCGATATCATTGAATTTTGAACAAATCATTTGTATAATCGAAGTATGTTCTGGTGCAAGAAGACAAAGTAGATCTTCTGGTCTTATATCAACCGGTAAAAGATTACAACTAGAATCTGATGGAAAATTTTTCATTTGATTTTGTGCAAGATTTAAATCATCATGAATTCGTTTAATATTTCCTAACATATTAAATACATTTAAATTTGCCTTTTTTGTCCATTCATGAAGTTCAGTTGAAATATGAGCAACAGAAATATAATTTGATAACATATCACGATTAGCTTCTTCATTTAATAGATCACATCGAAATTGAGCATAAGCCAAAGCAATATTATCAGTCAATGTTCGATCACTATCAATATTATTTGAACTTCGTTCAAGTTGCATAGTTAAATCATCATTGAGAGTAATTAAAATTGTTTTCAACTGATCTTTTTGATTAGATGTCAATAGACACATTGCTCGTATCCATGTTTGATTTGATACTTGTACATGAGTTAATCGAATAATTTGACTCATTTCTAAGAATGGATGAATTTTACTACTATTATGAATATTTTCACAAAAATATTTTATATCCGATTGATGATTAGATATTTTTATATGAGATGAATTTAATTGAATTTCAGTTTCATTTAATTCATGAATAGGTCGATCATTTGGTAATGGAGCATGAAATATTGTATATTGATTAATTTCACGTGTAAAATTTTCAAGTAAATCAGTCAACGTTCGTTCTTCAGAAAGAAGCCAATTAAAACTTGTTTCACTTTCTTGATCAATATCAAATGTTTTTAATTTATGTAATGTTTGATGTATATGTTGAATAATATAATGAGGTCGAAGTGGTAATTGACCGGCACGTGATAATAAACTGTTAATATTAGTTATTGTTACATCGATTTTACTTTGCATTGTTTTTCTTCGATAGTCTTTTGGATCAATATTTGTAAATGAATTTGTCTTTGATCCATGTGATTCTAAATTAACTAATAAAGGATCTTCTCGATTTTCATCAAATAATGGTGCTAGAAACGTAACAAAATTAATAAGTCCAAAACGTGAGAGAAGAGAAGTTGGTAAATGAAGATTTGTTAAACATTGATCTAATTTCTCTTGAAATTCTTTAAATTGTTGTTTCGATTGTTTGACACTAACTTTTATATGTCCATTAACAATATCAATCAATGATAATGTTGAACGAAAGATCATTTCAAGATGTCCAATTGTATCTGGTGTAGATTTATAGAGTTCATCTGGAAATTGATAACCACCAAAAGTAACATGTTGAATGATTAATTTGAGAAGATGAATTGATTTTTTAATAAAATCAAATAGAAGTTGAAAATCTTGAACACGTCTATTATCATTTAAATTACCAATTTTAAGTAAATGTTCATCAATCATATGAACACAACTATAATTTGTTGTTAAAGATTTTATAAATGCTAAAGATGTTAAACAACTACTAAGATCAGGTGGTTGAATTGATTGAATTGAATATTTTAATTCTTGATAAATATTTTGTACAATAACTGATGAAAAAGCATCTTGATAAGGTTTTATAAATGTCCACATTGATTGAATTATTGTTATCCATAAATCATCATTAAGATTAGGTTTTTGAAGATTTTCAAATTCATTTTCTAATCGAATAAATTGTTGATAAATAAAAATTATCAATGGTTTTCTTTCGATTGCATTATGTTTAACAAATTGTTTAAGTTGATCATAAATAATAATTATTTGATCGTAGATATTACTTATTGAATTTGTCATTGATGTATTTATTTTTTTATATAAATATAAAAGACAAGCAAATCCAAATGTTTGTTGATCATTATCTGATAGAATTCCATCAATATGAGGTAAATATTCTTGTACAATTTGATATTTGATTTCATCAGGTAAAATTTCATTTAAAATCATATTCAATTCATTTGTTACAATATCTTGTTGTAAACTAAACATATGAATCAATATTGAATGAGAGCCATTTTCAATAGAAATTAGACAACAATCAAACGAATTTTTATTTGGACAATAAATAAGTAGATCAAATGGATTCAATGTACGAATATTGATTTGATTTTGAAGTTGTTTCCAATTGGAGATAATTTGTAAACGACGTCCTTGATATAAATTAGGATAAATGAAAAGTCCACAGAGAAAAAGAATCAAAGGTGTTTCAAGTATATCATCATGTTCGATTAATTGACGTCCAAATGGTGTTGCAAGTACAGCATGAAGATCAAGTTGACCATCAATATTTATTAAACTAGGATTTCTAGGAGCATCGATCAAAATTTGAAAAAAACGATCCAATTGTTTCGCATCAGATTGTTCAAATCGACTTCGAATATATTGAAAAGCAGCAGATTCTTGTATTTTCTTCATTTCATCATGAAATTTTGAACGTGCGGCTAATACTTTATCGATAGTAGTAGTACGAATTTGTTCAACTCGAACTAATTGATCAAACAGCTGATTTCTTTCAGTTCGTCGTTGAGACAATTCTTGTCTAAGTTCATCTGCTCAACCTTGCAAATCATTATCTTCTGATTGGTATAGAGATGTGGTACGTTCAATTGGCGGTCTCATACCTGTTGTCATTCTTATCACTGAATATCTATTTGTTGATGAATTTTCTTCTGAAATAATTGCAATACGATTTATTATTTGTTGAAGACTTTCTTCACATTGTTTAACTTCATTATCTTTAGTTTCTAATCTTTTCTTCAATCGTAAATAATCATTATTAATTATACTTGATTCAGAAGGTAATTCTCGAACAACTTGTTCAATCATTGTTGATAATGTTTTACATAATTCCCAACAAGAAAATTTTATTTCACATTCAATAATAAAATCATATGTTATACAAACATTTTGCTTTAGAACTTGTCGAATAGTTGATGATAAATAATCATCAAATGTCCATCGAAGACCAATCCATTCTAAGAGTGTTGAAAAATATTTTATTGGTTCAACAAGATTTATATTTGATTGATCTTTTAAAATAAATTCAACAAGTTTTCGAATATCTTTTCGTGATGTTCGAATTGGTAATGTTTGTGTATGTTCAAATGAAAAAATAAGACCACTATCAAAATTATGAAACATATGCATACGAAATTGTTGTTTAGCATCAAGAAATGATGGATCATGAAAAAATTCAAAGATTGAACATTTATCTTTAAATGATAATAATGATCGAAGATATTGATTTATATGTGAACAAAAATCTGTAAGTTGAGTTTTTCGATCAAATAAATTAAATATTGATGAACTAAAAAATTGATCAAATATTTCAATAATTGAAATTATTCGTTGAATAAAGGATAAACGTTCACGAGTATCACTAAATGATGTTTGACTTAGAAAATGATCTAATAATTCACTTAATTGATGACACAATGATTCAAATGATGAAGATTCATTTATTCGAAATTGTTGAATAAAATTTGAAATACTCATTGAATTTTGTAAATCTGTACGAAGTGTTATTTGTTTATTTTCAATTAATTCAAGTAAAGTTTTTAATAAATCAAATTGATTATCATTTTCATTGATTAATGTTTGTTTTAATTGAATTAGATAAGCATCTGTAGGTGTCATTGGTAGAAGAATATCATCAATAAATAATGTTAAAAGATCACGAGTTAATTTATTTAATTGACTATCTTTGGCAAGTAATTGAATTATAGTTAAAATTAATTCAATAAGAAATCGTTCAAATTGAATAAAATGTGAACGAATTGTTTGTGTTTGTTGAAGCCAAATTGGTTGTTTTTGATCGAATTGATCTGTTGCTGTTGAATAAATTGTTGAATTTGAACAAAGTTGAAGATCTTTTATTGTTTCTTGAAGTCGATTAAGATAAAATTGATATTCGGATGAATTTTGTAATGATGAACAATAAGATCTTAATAAAGACCAATAACAAGCATCAACTGGATTAATATTTTGTTCGACTAAATATCGTAAAGTACGTATACATTGTTCAAGAAGACGATACGTAACAAGAAAATCACTTGGATAAGTTAAATGACCATCTTTAACATATTGTTTAACATTAAGATGCATTAATATTAATAAATGTGTCAATTGTTTTCCAGCTGGTATTGTTGATAATTGTATTGAAATTAATTCAAATAAATCACTTTTTGTTGGATCATTTTCATTTGTCATATTCCATTGATCAATTGGTGGTAAACAAATACGAATAACTCGATTAAGAAATGCTGATGATAATTTATTCGAATAGATTCTATTGAGATTAGCTGTTGTAAAAAGACGAAAATTTGAATGAATTCCATTTGATTGTGTTAAAATTTGTCCATTTGAATTTTCATATAATGATAATATTGGATTATCTTCTGTTAAAGAATTTAATCGTTCAAGTACTTCAGCTGGTGCACTATTAATATTATCAAGAAGAACCCACCAACCTTCACGAATAGCTTGAACAAATTCAGATTCAACAAATATAAAACCAATTTCTTGTTTTATATTTAAACGAGTATGTTGCAATTTACTAACATAATAATCAGCTTGACGTACATAACATGAAATAAGTACTTTTATTTCATTGGACATTTGAGAAATTTTTGTTAATGTTGTTAATAATTTTATTGTTTCATCAAGAGCTTCAATTTCATATGGAATTATTTCATATCGACTTGTACCTATCATAGGTGTTCGTTTTTGAAGAATTATTTTGAATTGATTGAATACATATTCATTACTTGCTTTCGATAAGAGTGGCATAATAATAAGAAAAAGCATTTTAATAATTTGTTTAAATAATATATCAATTTTATTGAATAATGGATCATTATGTTCATGATCACTACTTGGTCGCCAAGAACCGATAAGATCTGTTGTTTCGAAATTCTCATGTAATGGAATAATAATAAGACGATGACGTGTCAAACGTGCAAGTTCCATAACAAGCGATGATTTTCGAGAACAAATATCACCTTCAAGAAGTATAGCTCGTTTCGATTGACATGCAGCTGCAAGTAATTCTAATTGACGAACAGTTTTCTTTGTATGAATAAGTCCAGTATCAATTGGTGATGGTTCTTCTCTTCCAGTTCCAACATATATTGAACCAATACGTACAACAGTTGCTACACTTGTATCAATTGAACAATCATTTTCTCGTTTACTCAAAGCTGTATTGATCGGAAATTTTGAATTAATTAATTCACAAGCTTGAATAAAATCATTTTGATCTCGAAATTGACATGCATAAGCAACTTGAGCAAATTTACGAATTGATAAAAATCGAGCATCAGATGTGTCCATAGATGGATTTAATTCTTCTGTTGTCTTATTTTCTTGATTTTCATCATCATTCGTATTCATATATTGATAATGAAATAGTTGACTATCGATTGAACCACGAAATATATCTCGAAATTTGGATAAATCACGTAAATTAAGTTCATATGGTCCACCTGTTCGTCCAAGTGTACCTTGTCGTACAAGTACTTTAAGTGATGTATGTGTTTGAAATAAAGCATCGAGTTGATCCATATTAATATTTTTTTCATCTAGATCATGAACAAATAAATGATTGAGAATAATACGTAATTCTTTTTGTGAATAATCATCAAGTTGAACAATAGTAAATAGATTACTGATTGAACGAGGCAATTTACTTCGACCACCACCAATCATTGATGGATTCATCGTAGCAAATATAAGAACATTTTTTATATCAACTATTTCACCTGTTGTTGGTACAGTAAATTGTGTTGTATCTCGATAAAACAAAGGTGTAAGACCTTCGAGTACTTCAGGTGCAGCTAAATTGAGTTCATCGAAAAGAATCCATTTTTGAGCTTTGATTGCTGATAAAACTCGACCTTCTTGCCATTGAAAAATGCGTACTCCATTGATAAATCGAGGAATAATACAACCAATCAATTGATCAAGTGATGTATTTGCTGATAAATTAATTCGTTCACATTGTTTGTTGAGTAATGAACAGACTTGTGTAACTACTTGAGTTTTTCCAATACCTGGTGGACCTTCGAGTAGAAGTGGTGTTTTTGACGAAGTAGCTGCAAATATTCGTGCTATTTGATTGATCATTGTCGGTGTTGGAACACAATAGAAACGTTTACGAAGATCATTCAATTGTGTTACTTGATTTTGTTCATTAATATGTTCAGAAGAATATCGAACACCAGTATAACGTAATGCTACATATCCACGACCTACTTCAAATGGAAATATTGCTTCTTCCTCTGCATCAACCGATCTAAGCGATTCTAAAGTGATCGCTCCATGTGACTCTGTTGGAGCTCTGAAGATATCGTCATATTCATGATAATTATTCACTGTTGATAAACTTTTACGCCATTGTTCGAAAAGAAAAATATGTCTTGACAAAGGTAATTGATCAAAATAGAAGAAACGAGCACCAAGAAAAAGACGATCAACAAGAGATATTGATGGATGATGACTAGTAATGAAATCAGTCCAACGAAATAATAATTGAATATCATTATCAAGTTTCCATTCAGGATCATCACGTAATTTTCGACGTAAAGAAAACATAATTTCAACAAGTGAATCAATTTGATTGATGTGTACTTTATGTTTGTTTAATTCTGATTTAACAAGTATTTGAAGATCTCTTTCGACATAAGCTGGAATATAAATTTCTGTAAATCTTGAACGTGTAGCTGGACTCAATTTGAGTATTTGATGAGCTTGTTCTTGATGAACACTAGCAAAAATTTGAAATTGATTCGATAATGTTATATCAAGTTGACCTTTTTCAGCATGACTTGTTATATCTTCCGTAAGTGCAAAAGTAGGACTTGGCTCGAGCATAGAATTCAATCGTTCAATTACTGCTTGACTTGGTAGATCGAGATCTTCAAGAAAGAGAATACCACCTCGTTTAGCTGCCATAGTTACTGGTCCATCATTGAAGAGAAATATTGGTTTCGTACGATCGAAATTACGTGATGTTAGACGTTCCCACACATCATTGAATTTCGATTGATAATCACGTAATGTTGCATCTTTGGCTGTAAATGAAGCATAATTGGTCTGTTGAAGCATTTTTTTGAATTCATCATGAATTTCCTCAATAGCAATCATCAATTTTTCGGGAAATTCTATTTCATAGACTGGATTTGAATGTGTAGTAGATGATAGAATTGATTCGGTAGTAGTAGTCATTGTTGCTGTTGTTGCGTTTATCATGTTAGAAAAGCCATCATCAAGTATCATCGGTTGTAGTTGATCCTTTGATTCTTTCTCTGATTCCGATAGAATTTCGGGTTTTTCCACATGAACAAGTACATCGAATCCATCATCTAATTCGAAAATAGTTTCTTCTGATGAAACATTCAATCGCGATGAAGATACTGACTGATCAAAGCCATCATCAAGTTCATACACGTGTTCTTGCGATGGAACATTTGATTTTAGTGGAGGTGCTGGTTGCCCAAAACCATCATCAAAATAATCTGTTGTTGTAGTGCTAGTACCTATGGTTGATACATCTCGATGATTGAAATTTTCGTTATAATTTCCAAATCCATCATCCATCATGTCAAAGGATCCATCTGAATAGACTTGTCCCATATCAGGTTGATATGAAGTATCATAGGAATCATCCAATTCGTAGAAACTAGGAAACGATGTGTTTATTGTTGGTCTCATTTGAGAAGAAGAGATTGGTAGACTTATAGTCGATTCCATATCTTTCTCATTCTCAGCAAGAATTTCAATAGATGATACTGGCAAGAGTATAGCTTCAGCTTGTGCACGAAGTACTGTAAAGTTATCATGAAGATCATTGTTTTGTATTCGATGTTCTTCATCACGTGTATAGGCTATTTCAAATTCTTGAATGGCATCAGGAAGTCGACTGGTAATGATATCACGTAGATTTTTAAGAAAAATTTCATCATTAATTGTTACTTCACCTGTTGTACTATGATGTCGACAAAGACTTCGAAAACGAATATAAACACGTTCAGCCATACTTGGTAATCGTTTAAGTAGATCAAGAAACGAATAAGGTTGAATTTCACCAATTAGATCACTAGCTTCTGTATCTGGTGTCAAATGTACTTTGACGAGTTCATTCGATCGATTTGAAAGTCGAGTCCATGTTTCTACAAGTAATGTCTTACATGAAGTTGGTCCGATGAGCAAAACAGGTTCTTTGGCATGAACGGCTAGAGCAAGACGAACAAGCGAACGATGAAATGTTTCAGGTGATGTAAGAACTAGACTGTCAGTTAAACTCATATTTGGAATATCGACATAGAGTTCACCTTCCCGAAAACGAACTTGTCCACCGATTTCTTTAACTTCGATCTGTGGATTGGGTGACATACGAATTTTAGACCAGATTGATTGTAGATCATTGAGAAGTATTTGTCGCATAGTAGAATCGACTGGATATTTGGCACCCAAAAGCGAAGCACCAACAATAGGCCAAAGTTCTTTTTCAGATGAAAACAGAGCATGTCGATGAAGCCATTTCACTAATTCACGAAATGTAATACGTGATTGAGTGCGAATAACTCGATGATAGAATTCTGCAAGTTGAGAAGTCGATGCATCTGTTAAACATAATGGTTTTTGTTTTCCAATTTCATTACGTCTTCGAATAATTTCTGGTAGTTCATTTTTTGGAAATTCACCGAATTGAACTTCAAGGAAACGATTTCGTAATGACACAGGTAGTTGATGTCGATTAGCATATGAAGCATCATTTTGTGTTGCAAAAAATTGAAAACCGGATTTAGCCTTGATTATTTTGCCACTTGATGGAATGGTAATGATATTTTTACCTTCAAGTAATGGAAATAACATATTCATAACTGATGGATCAGCCAAATTGAATTCATCGGCAAGAAACCACCAACCATTCTCCATAGCTCTATATAGAGCTCCTTTCTGAAAAGTAAAACCATCATTGAAAGGTAGAAATGTACCAAGATAGTCTTGAATCGTTGTTGTATCTGTATTATTGACTCGTTCAAGTTGAATTGTTGTGTTTGAAGTATTATTTAATGTTTGTGGTTTCATGTGTTTACATAAATAGGAAATAAGTGCTGTTTTACCAACTGCTGCTGGCCCTTCAAGTAGAAGAGGAATGTTACATGCTACGGCACCTAATACTGCATTTGCGTAATTTAGTCGACTTTCAGTTAAGATATGTTCAGTGCTCTCATGAATCCAATCAGTGAATTTTGGTTGATGAAGTGCGATTGTTGATCGATCTTTCTCAAGTAATTGTTTGATTTGATTAGTAATTTGATTTCGAAGTTCTTCACTTTTAATTTGATTGGCAATTGTTACATGATAAGCTGTCCATAGACTGGAGATGAAATCAAGTGTAGATTTGAATCTTAACTGAAGAAGATAGATACTGTCAAGCAATCGAATAATATTACGTAAAGTAAACTTAGGAAAATTCTTCGTATTAGATTTATAAAACGAAAGAATTGTTTGACATAATTCAATGACCAATGTATGATCAATAGTAGGTTCATCAGATAGAAGTGCTTTAGTAATGAGAATTAATTCTTGTGAATCATGAATAATATCGAATGACAGGTCTTCCATATGAATAACAGCAAAACGATTGTAAAGTGCTGGTGAAAGTTCATTGGATGAACTACTGGAACTCGTTTGTGATGAATAACGAGCATCTGGTGGTGTCATTGTGGCTACAAGTTGATAATTTACATGCATAGGTTGTTCATCGACATCACCTTTTTCTGTTAATATTAGCATAGGCTTTTGTTCAAGAACAGGATTAAGTCGTTCAAGTACTGATGATTCAGCCGAACTAAGATTGTCTAGAAGTGCCCATTGACCATTAATATATGCTTGAGTAACACATCCATGTTGCCAAATCAATTTTTTACCATAATTAGGATCATTTTCATCTTTGTTATCATTTGGAATAAGTTGACCAACGAGAGCTGATGGTTCAGTTTCAGGAGTAATATTTAATTGATGTACTTGTTGACCACAGAACCAAGCTAACGTCAATAAAAGTTCTGATTTACCACATCCTTCAGCTCCCGTAATTAAAATCGGTTGTTTAATATTCATATTGAAACATACCTGTTTGATTGTTGACAATACACGATCGGTAAGCACATAGGGCATTTCTGGTCGTATGAAAACATCATCAGATGTAATTTTTCGTGTCAAATCAGAATCGTTAAATATTTGATTGAAACAATTACGAATTGTTTCTTGTGCTTGAATATGACGAAAACGACTTTGATACATCTTACAGCCATGATATATGAAATCTTTTCGTTGTCCAAGAAGATTTAAGCGAGCTGCTGAGATAAGCCATTCCCAAAGCCAAGAACGATCAATACGATAGATACCATGCAAATGAATAAATTCATTTGTCATTAATACTCTATGGATAGTTACATGTAATTTAAGAGCTAAATTCCATATATTTTGATCATAATCGACGGTTTCAAGATTGGCTGCAGTAAATGTTGATATCCATTCTTTTCTTGCATCATCATCATTATCTAATTCTAATCGAATCGGATAGCGAATATTATCGAAGTAGACATAATTCTGATTATGATCAATAGACATTTTGATACTGTGTAGAGCTGGACGTCCCCAACCACCTTTGCCATTGTCAGTTAGAATATTTTCGATTAGAATACGACCTGCTGCACGGTATCGTGCACCATAGACACACCATGCACTGAAACTGAGAAAAGAAAGACGAGAAGTTACATCATGAGACCATGAAGCATTCTGTTTTTGCCAGCAGATAAGTAATTCGACCCATTTGAGAAGTTCACGAATTGAAATTTCAGCATAGGGACCAGTTTCGATATATGTCTGTGTAGAATCATTTAGAGCTTTCTTTATACTAGCATTGAAATGTGATACTAGAAGTTCGGCCAAAACTTCAGCTTGATCAGGTATAAAAAATGATAGTCGTTGTTGAACGATTTCACGCCATTCACAATCAGGTAATTCTTTGAAGATAAGTGGACGAAAACGACTAAGAAATGATGGAGATAATTTTTCTCGTTTGCCTTTAAAAAAGCCTGTATTTGGATTTTGTGTAGCGAATAATCGAAAATCTGGATGCATTCGATGTACGACAACTGATTGTTGAGCAGAACTCGCATTACGAATGATCAATTGACGTGTATCAAGAGCTGATTCGATAGCTTGAAGTACCGTATCTTGAGCCAGATTGAGTTCATCAAAAAGTATCCAATAACCGTGTGTAAATGCAGTAGTAAATGGTCCATCAACAAATTGTAAATGTGTTGTTTGAGATTGTTCATCAAGTACTAGCGCTATTTTACCAAGTAGATCATCGATTGTAACACGTGATGACATATTATAACGTATGAGAATATGTCCTGATTGATGAGCTGCTTCCATGACACTGGCACTCTTGCCAACACCTGTACTTCCTTCGAGTAAGATTGGAATAGGATCATCAAGTACTTCAAGTACTTTCGAGACATTCTCACGTGCTGTATCAGTAAGAACAAGTCGATCTCGTTTTTCTTGATCATTGACGACTGATGCATTAGAACGTGTGTATGATAGATGAGAACGAAGAATCTGATCGATTTTGTTCGGTTGTGCTTTGTTCAAGTTTTCTAGCAGTTTATGAGCTTTGAGAAAATCTTCATGTCGTACACGAACAATTTCCGATGTATTTGATTGTTCACTACTGAAGAATAATGTTTGTTGTTGTTGAATTTCAGTAAATAATTCATTATCATTGTCTGTGATTGATTCATGTTGAACATTACCCGTCAATACAGAACGTTCATTTGCCGATAAATCTAAGATTTCAGCGAGTAAAGTAATACCAGCTTTTTTCAATTGACCGGTACGACCTAATAGACCCATAAGATCAGGTATGAATAATGAAAGAAGTGGAATCATTTTAGTACGTGATTGAGCCTTGACAATTTCTCTACTAAGACTAAGTAAATGAGATGAACTTGGACTATTATCACTATGGATTGTTTCATCGACACTTTTAAATAAAAGTTTCATAAGTCGTTCTCCGATCGAATTTGTATCGATTGTATTCATATCATCAATATTTCCAATTGAAGATATAAATAAAATAATGTAAGCAAAAGGACTATGACTTTCGAAATTGATCGACATCAATGTAGAAGAATAGTCATTGAGAAAGAACTGAGCAATGTCCATTGTATGTTTATTATATTTTGAGTAGCCAATATCGAGAAGTAATTCAATGAGTCGAATGATAGTCGATGATAGAGTAATCAATTGTAACCATGATTGAATAGTTTGATGAAGATCATCCGATCGAAAAAGATATTTTTGTGTATGAATACTTTTAGCTAATGATTCCAGAATAGTTAATAAGATAGGAATATATTCTTGAGCTAAATCGAATCGAATACAATTGAGAACTTGTTGAACTTGTGTTTCATTGGCATGTTGTACATAAGTTGCAAGTGTAGTCGTAGGACAAACAGAATGTTCGATGAGTTGAAAACAGAATGCATTGAGTGGATGAAGTATCAAACGATCGAACCATAGCTGGAGTAGATTATGTTCAGTAAACATACTCGTATATTTCAAAATTGACAATAGAATAAAACGATGATTTACTTTATTATCAATTTCATCGTTATCATCCATAATAAAATCAACATACCATATCAACATATTCAGATTGATTTTTTTAATTGCACTAATTAAGACTGCTTTGTAATAAATCGGAAGTAAATCATGAAGAAGTACGAAGAAACAAAGATGACCACGTACATTGTTTACTGGTGTATTTGCACATATACGTTCAGTTATTTGTTCAACAAGTTGATTTGAATCATTTGTCTTGTTATTAATAAGTATTTGTATGAGTTGAACAATTCGATAACGAATTGATTCAAGTAGATCATTATTGATCATTGATGGCCAAATCTCAAATAAATGATCGATAATAAATTTATACAGTTGATTTTCATAACCTATCATATCAACGTCTTGTAAACGATCGAATAAATATTCACTAATATCTTTGTCAAAATAATCGAATGTCTTGATATGACGATAAAGAAGTTGCCAAGCTGAAAAGACATGATCAGCTTTGAATAAACTTGTTTGTATACTAGTGAGTAAACTCATCAATTGCTCTTTTCCATCACAGGCACTTAATGCTCGATGAACTAAATGATCAATACGTTCACGACCATTTACTACACCGTCAGTACAAACATCTTCACGACCATCCGTCCATCGGACTGTAATTGGTTGATTTGATAAATAAGCCGTTTGACCTGGAGCATCATTGCGTGCACGTGGATCTTGACTTGTCACTTTTTCAATCAATAATGGATCAAAATAGAGTCGCCAAAGTGATTCAAAATGAGCCGGCGCAATAAGATAACATTGCATATCAATAGCATTGTTTTCATTGTAGTTGAGACATGCAGTGAGTAATTCAATCAATGCATTCATTTCTTTCCCAGTGCATCGTGTAAATTTAAATAGACGAATCAGATGAAGTAGAGTCAATGGTTTTCGAGGATCATCTCGTCGACTAATAAATAAAACAATAGAATGATTAACAAATTAAGTTAAATATATGAAAAAATACCGATTTCTATGTTTGATAATTGATACTGTCAACATTCAAAAAATTTCAATAGATTTTTTTTTGAAGTGTAATTAATTGAGTCAATCTCTGTGTTTTGATCATGAAGTAAGAATTCTACATTTTTTATTTATCAACAAGAAATGAAGCTCAGACAAAATTGTTGCAAATGAATGGCTTCAGATGAGATAATTCACTCTTTAAAACAAGAAAAAACAATGACAATTCATTTCTATATCTTGTATATTATATTATATTTATTTTTTATCGTATTTTATCATCTTTGAGTTTTAATAATATCTTATAAATCTTGACGAAAGAGAAACTATAGAATTTTACAGATTTTTTCACGATTATTTCGAATTTTTCATAATCAATGCCCATGAAATGTTATTTCTATGTATAATAATAATAATCATTTTCTTTAACTTTTTCAAGGTTTACTGTTAGATATCATGCGGAAAATTTGGTTATCCTGCATAATGTCGAAAACAAAAGCAGAAAATCAAAAAATGGCTATTAAAATGTGGATGAGAATGAACAAATTTGTTAATCTATGCACTATCATGTTTAACATTTGCATCTTTTAACATATGTATAAGTTTTATTTTTGATATTTTACTTTCAGTCAAATTCAAGTTTACAGAAATTATATTCTCCATCATATAGGAAAATATACTATGCTGTTTATCATTTAAAAACGAATGCTGAGAAAGTCAATTTAAAACAATAGCAAGCTATCGACACACACTGAATGACTTCATATGAGTTAACTATCTATCACAGGATATTTGTAAATTTCTAAGTTTTGTGTATACGAAAAAAACGATGTATTCTTGTTGATGTAATTGCTTAAATAGTACTCACCTCGGAATGAGTCGACCTTCGATTTGTTGTATGACAATAATGCGTCGTTCACGAATTAATTCGAGCAAACCTTTGGATGGTGCTTCACTTGGTTTTACTGTTAGCCACCATTGCATAAGTTTAGCCATCTTGATAGCTAAGAGCTAAATAATCGAAAAATATTACAATTATTCATCATTTTTATATTAGAGTAAAACTTATCAGATGGAATCAAAAATAGAAAAATCAATGTTTCTACAATATCTCATTACATATGAACATTTGATCTTCTCCATCTATATTTCATTTTTTCACCACTTAATACAGTGTATTAAAAAAACAAAATATACCATAAGATGCAGTGTGAAAAGAACTACAATTTACGCAAGACCGCTTTTTTTTACAGTTGCCCTCTTTGTTTTCAAAATGGACAAAATTTTGAATAACCAAATTTCGACCATGAGAAAATTGGCAGTACACAATTTTGCTTTTGTTAAAAACAACTACAAGAAGATTTACTGTATAAATTTTAGAGCTTTTTACGCTGCATCCAGTGGTATACTTCATATTTTTTAATACATTGTATTAAGTAGTGAAAGAATGTAATGGAAAAAGGTGGTTTTTTTTTTGTCCGAGGGACGATATAATAGATGTGTCTGACATAATTCGAACTCAACGACACTCCTATGTTTCCAGTTCTTCAGTACGATTTCTTCCAAGGTTGATTCCATTCACTTTACTCTGTTTGATCTCAATATAGAATATGTATATCGGATTTTTTTTTAAACAATTACTCTCTATCATCAAATAATTATTCAAAAGATTCATCACATTAATCATTTGATCAGCTTTTTACCTGAGATCCATGATCAAGTGCTCGTGTACCGAATGGATAGAAGATGAAACGAAGGATATCTCCAGCAGTGTCCATAGTAGCCAATCGATGTACATTGTCAACAAGACGATCGATTAGCACTTGAACGGGCATTGTTTCACCTTGACGATCGAGTACATTTACCAATGCAGTCTTCAATTGATTGCATGTTTCACCGACGTTGATCGTCGATGATGTTGTACGTTGAGCCACGGTTCAATGAAAAAGAACTTCAATTTTATGACAATTCAATGTATATCTAGAAACAAAAGTACACATCACTATAGTCTTGTCACATACAATTGTTCTATTAAACAGATAAATCAAATGAAGGCTGACACATTTTCATTAATAAGAACTGACAAGATGAAAAAAAAAAAAGGTTAAATCCACAATAAAAAATATCTATGAAGTAACGAATCAAAAAATCAAGAAAAAGATACATTTACTATAGATATAATTAAAATCATCCTGAAGTTTAATATATTAAATGTAGTTAGAAAAAAATTATTTTAATATAAAATCTTTGTTATAAAAATGACATTACTTGTATATATCTATTACACATATTACTATTTGTATATTACTTGGGGTAAAATAAAAAGTAGTAGCGTCATTATTCTATTTCTCAATACAACGATTGAAAAGGTTTTCTTTTTTTTATGTAGTGATAGAGAAAACAATTCTTGATTTTTCTATGTTATTTCATCATTCTTCAGCTACTATTGTAATAATAAAATTTTGATATGAACCTATTTTTTGTGTTAAACTTCATTTATGCATGAAGCAGATTAAAAATGACCACTCTTTGCATTTTTTACATTTCAATATTCAATCAGTTAATAGGTTGTATTAAAAATATAATACAAGATGCAATGTGAATAGCTTTACAATTTTCTTGAAACAGCGAAAATTGATGACACAGAAGTTTTCTTTTTTTTTTTGAAAATAAGAAATACAAAATTAAAATAACCTTTACTATGTGTATTGTAGAACTTTTTACGCTGCATTTTGTAGTATATTTTTTTTAAATACAGCCTATTAACTGATTGAATATTGAAATGCGAAAAAAATGCAAAGAATGACCATTTTATCTGTCTTACATACTAGTGAAGTTTTACACAAAAAATAGTTCTTATCGAAATTTTATTATTATGATATTAGTTAAAGAGTGATCAAATAGCATTGAAAAATTAAGCATCATTTTCTCTATCACTACATAAAAAAAACGAAAATCTATTCCACTTTCGTATTAAGGAATAAGATAATGATACCACTACTTTTCGCATCCTATAAGTACTAGTATATAAACTACTAGTAAATTAAGTCAACTGTATTATTTATTCTTTTCGCTCCAACTTATATTACCATATGAAAAATGGTGAGAAAACAAAAAAAACATAATGAAACAAAAAGGTGAAACAAGACAATGAAGTAATTGATGCAGCGACAAAACTAATCGATTTTCTTAATCAGATAGGAAAATCTAGACGAATTTCGATTATATATCGTTTCATCATCAAGTCGATAAAGAATAGATAGAGTAAAATAATTCACGCCTCTATACCTTATCGTTTAGAAGATATCTAGGAACCAAATTGTTAAACGGGGTTTTTACCTGTACAAAACTTCTTTTCTAATATACTTCAAGCTGCAGAGTTCGAGTTGCTTTTATTTGAAAAAGGACTCCTTGCTGCTTCAGATAAAAAACAGGATTTTTTAATTTTGTACATTTTTTAGACCAATTGCAATCTTGAAAATCATTCAGAAATCTTAAGAATGCTTTCCCTAGAAAACTCAGGGTTCTTCTAGCATTGACAACTAATTAGAAAATTTCTTTCTCTCATTTGAAGAACTATCCATGTATCTATCGATGAAAAAAATAATACAAATTTCTAAAAAAAACATTCGTTTGTAGTTCGATTGTTATCGAAAAAACAAATCAATTTTGAGAAAAACGTAAAACAACTTTTTTTTTTAAAATTTTAATCTTCCTATTATTAATTAAATGTGAGGTAAAATCTAAATATATTAGATATCAATCGAAGCTCTTATCAATGTGTATTACGTACGTTAGCCTCATGTGAGACATATTACGATAGATGACGCTAACTGTTATTGTCTTTAGATTCATTGAATCATCGAAGAAAATGATAATAAAAACAGAATACAGGTCAAAATTTAGGTTTCCATGCATTCTAGATTTCTCTGTTATTTTAAATTTTAGAAAGCTCAGTTTGGTGTCAAAATGAAGATAAAAATTAGCTCTATAATTTAGTAGGACCTAATTTTTTCGATTTTCTCTTACTTTGTGTTCCTAGAAAAGTTCGTAAATGAAATATGGAAAACCTAGGGAGAATAAAGCCAAAACGATTAGTTTTTTCTTTAAACATTAATGTGAAGATCGAAAGATCCAGCTCTATTAGGTTGTAATGCTAATCTGTACTTCCATTCAACACCGAGTCGAGCTTTCTAACATTTAAAATGACGAAGAAATGTAGAATGTATGGAACGTAAAAATCAAAATTTCTCAGAAAAAAAACCATTAATTTCCTCTATAGGAAGGTTCAGAAAAACCTATGTAATATCCTTAAATCTCATTATAAAATCAATAAACAATATTGCATTTGAAAGTAGACGTTTCGCTCTATCGAACATGCTATAAACCATAAAATCGATACATTTGACTAAAATTGGCTTTTTCTGATGGTCCCTTAACTTAATGGGAGCGAATTACAAAAAAAAAAAAAACATCCATCCTTTATCATCGCGGACGTCATATATCGTGCTACGCCGATTCTTTCATCGCGATTTGTAATATTCAAAATAATGCATACGAGCAAAAGCGAAAATTCGTTTGCCAAGGATATCACATGTAGCTGTAAACAAAAACGAAAGAGAATAGGAAAAAAACATCGTCACCGCAACCCCTAGTAGAGTACAAATATGCACCACAATACACACAATTTTCTCTCGTCTTTCTTTCTTCGTTTGTCTGAATCAGTAATTTTTGTTTTTTTATTGCAAATAAAGAAAGATAAACTAGACTGCCATTCAGCGCTGCGCGCTGGATGGAATGTCGGCTAACTGCAGACTAGATCTTCAATTCTTCTAAATTGATAGCTCATTGCTTGGTAGCCATTCGGAAATTTTTCTCCGACGCTCGAGACCTCATGACGGATGATTTTAAATCGCAGAAGGCGACAATTAATTAAAATATAGATGCATTTAACGTCTTACATGTGAATGGTGGGTTGAAGATTGAATCATTCATCGTCACATAAAGAAGCTACCCAGGTCGAAAAGGCACGATAGTAAACAGTCGTATACGAAGAAATACGTCTAGAAACGGCATCGTATACGATGCCGTACGTTAAATTACGATCACCGTATACGTTGAAAATAAACGACTGTCGTGTACAAGTGTAGTATACGACCGTATATGGTCGTAAGTTAGTCGTAAATTCCCAGGTTAAAAACCTGACGTCAGATCATGCAAGATCCGAAATGATTTTACCCTTATAAGATTTTCTCTATAAGCTTGTCACAAGAG